AACGTGAAACCAAAATCACCGGTTTTGTCGGTTCCTCTCGATTTAGATCGGTACGTTAACGATTCGATGTTCGTCGGATTCTCTGGTTCAACGCAAGGAAGTACAGAGATTCATAGTATTGATTGGTGGAGTTTCGCTTCTTCTTTCGATGATACATCGGAATCGGAATCTCCACCGCCGATGTCGGATTCTCCTCCACCGTCGATTGCACCGTCTGTATCATCCGTCCGGAGAAAAACCGCCGATCCGTCATCTTCTTGCCGTAACAAACTCTGTAAAAAATCACCAGGCGCCGTCGCCGGAGTTGTAACCGCCGGAGCTTTTTTCTTAGCATTATTCGCCGGAATTATAATCTGGGTTTACTCCAAAAAGATCAAATACACACGAAAGTCCGAATCTTTCGCATCGGAAATCATCAAATCGCCGAGAGAATTCACATACAAGGAACTGAAATTAGCCACCGATAGTTTCAGCGCGTCGAGAGTGATCGGAAACGGAGCATTCGGGACAGTATACAAAGGGATCTTACAAGATACCGGCGAGTTCATCGCAGTCAAAAGATGCAGTCACATTTCACAAGGAAACACAGAGTTCTTATCGGAATTATCCTTAATCGGAACGCTTCGTCATCGGAATCTTCTCCGTTTACAAGGCTACTGCAGAGAAAAAGGAGAAATTTTGTTAATTTACGATCTAATGCCTAATGGATCTCTTGATAAAGCATTATACGAATCTCCGACGACTTTACCGTGGCCTCACCGGCGAAAAATCTTACTCGGAGTTGCTTCTGCTTTAGCTTATTTGCATCAAGAATGTGAGAATCAGATCATTCACCGTGATGTTAAAACGAGTAACATTATGCTTGACGCGAATTTCAATCCGAAATTAGGCGATTTCGGACTCGCTAGAGAAACGGAACACGATAAATCGCCGGACGCAACCGCCGCCGCCGGAACAATGGGGTATTTAGCGCCGGAGTATTTGTTAACCGGTCGAGCGACGGAGAAAACCGATGTTTTCAGCTACGGAGCTGTTGTTTTAGAAGTATCCACCGGTAGAAGACCAATAACCCGAACCGAGCCCGAACCCGGTGTAAGACCCGGTTTTAAAACCGGGTCGAGTTTGGTTGATTGGGTTTGGGGTTTGTATAGAGAAGGGAAGCTTTTGACGGCGGTGGACGATCGGTTAAGCGACGGAGGATTTGACCCGGAGGAGATGAACCGGGTTTTGATGGTGGGCCTTGCTTGTTCCCAACCCGACCCGGTAACCCGGCCTAGTATGAGAAATGTGGTTCAGATTCTGGTTGGGGAAGCTGATGTGCCGGTGGTTCCGACGGCGAAACCGTCGTCGTCGATGAGCTTTACCACGTCGGAGTTGTTGCTTACGTTACAAGACAGTGTATCGGATTGTGACGAAGCTTTAGCTCCGATCTCGACGACTTCTTGTTCCTCGTCGGAACACGACATTTTCATTGTCGGCAATGATCGGTCGGTTTA